GGTTTGGTTTCCCTCCATGACCCCTGATTTTAGCAGTCAAAATTTGAAGTTTGCAAGAGTGATTCATTCACTGTCGCATTCCTCCAAGAGATGAGACTTGAACGTGCAGCTTATACGCATTGCGATTACTAATGTGGACAGTCTGGGTTTTGCAGTGCGGTAACCACAGCACTTTGCTGGTGTAACCTTTTAACAGTGTGCTGTTGTGACCACGTTTCCTATGAGTTCAGACCGTGACGATGGTTGTGGTAGCTACAGCCAGAGAAAGGCCGAGGGGCTGTGCTGGTCTACAGACAGATGGATCAGGGAAGGGTGTGCCCAAAACCGCACGCTGTGCAAGCTGGAGAAAGCAGGGGGGCTGGGCGTGATGGAGAGCAGGGAGGACGGGAGAAGGTCTTGCAGGGAGAGTCTCACACGTCCACGATGACGCCAGCCGTACTTCCGATGTCCCCTCAATGGCAGCCAATGCTCAGGTTGAAAACAGCAGCCGTGGGATTGGCTTGGGTGGGTCACACAGACACACACACATGGCCCTCTCTACCCTGATGTCCCTGTGAATCAAACAGAGTTGCACTTTATAACTCAGAGGTTGCAAATAAATGCCTGACAGTGAATTAAAGAGAAAATGTAGGTAAGAGATACACTGGCTTCCTACAGTGTGCAGTTGATCTGTCAGATCTGACCACTGGCCACCTTCCTGGAGTTCTCAGAGATGTATTGGATCAAGGAACAGGAAAGTGCTTCCCCACCTCTTCTGAACTTTGATCTGAACAATCCAATTTCAAATCTTTCTGGATTCTATGGAGATGCTAATGGAGCCACAGAAAACCCAGAACAAAAGAGTCTTGATGTTTGCTTCCATGCAAACTAGACTGTTCTCGCCTCTCTGCATATTTGGCAGACAATGCAAAGGCAAATTCTGTTCAGTTTAGGCTGACATTCTCCCTAAATGCAGGTCTAGATGATGGCCACCTCTGTTAAGGGTCAGAGAAAAAGATCACGTGTCAGCCCAATATCTCAGCATTTTTGGAATGTTCTCATTTCAGCAGATGATACAGATACAGTGGCTTAAAAAGGGATGTCCAGAAAACTAGTTCAGACTTTTCTAGAAAGGGAGATCAATGACCCTTCCCTGTGTGGACGGGACTCAGGTCTCGTGGCTAGCACTTGGCAGGGGTGAGGAGGCAACGCTCCTGGGAAGCAGGCTGTGGAAAGGCCGTGTGCCTGTGCCTGTCGTCTCGGGTGCTGCCTGGCTTCCGTCCTGGAACCTCTCCCCCTGCAGAGAGCTGCTGCCCATCAGGACCCCAGGCTGAGTATAAAGCCCCACAGGATGAGAACCAAGCGCTGCCCGTGGCCAGGTGAGGGCACTGGACGTGGGTCCCCCTTGCTGAAGTCCGAGTGCCTACAGCCCTGATGGACCGCTGGCTGCCATCTCAGGAGAGACCTGAGCCAGTGGCACAGAGCTAAGCCACACGGGTCCTTGGAGTCAATAATAAGTAACTCACTGGATCTCCACACCGTAGTCCTGATGTCACCGGCTGCCGTGAGGGCACATAGACCCGGGGGGGACCAAGGAAGCTCAGTCCTTCCCGGGGACATAAAGTACATAGAGACCCCAGGATTCGACATAATGACTGATGACTTTTGGGACTTGGTGCACAAACACCTCTTCAAGCCTTTCCCCTGACAGGTCAAATGAGAGACCTCCTGAAACTGTCTTCATTCAGCTAGAATGCTTTTGGCCCTGACCTCCCAAGACACTTATCCTGCTGTCCTCCTGATTTAAAGAAAATGTTTGTGCTTCCTGAATGAGTCCAAGAAGTAATGGTTTGACCTGATAAACTAGCCAGCAAAATTTACAGCTGAATCTCTGTCGATGGTATGAGTACATGTTCCCAAATGGCCTGTATTAAAGTCTTGGTCCCAGCTCTTGGTGCTATTGAGAGGTGGTGGAGCCTTTAAGAGGTGGGGCCTGTTCCTGGGGGTGTGGCCTTGAAGGGTGTGGTCCTCTTCCTCTTTTTCACTCCCTTGTCTTGAGGTAAATTGTTTTGTTCCACCTGGTGGTCCCACAGTGACGTGCGGCCTTGCTGAGAATGAAATAGCAATAGGACCAACCAGCCGTCAGGTGGGAACTCCAAAACCATGAGCTCAAACAAGTATGTTCTTTTGATAAGTTGATTCCCTCAGGTATTTTGTTACAGTATTTTGTGACACTATGCAGGACCTGCACCTTCAAAAGCAGACACTATGCAAGACCTGCACCTTCAAAACCCTTGCTCACTCACATGAGTATAAGGGAGTCACCGTAAAAGCAATAGGTCATCTCACCATTCAGAAACACAGGGTGCCTCACCCCCACCTGAGCACAGGTTGGTGTATTCCCCTCTAAAGTTCAGAACCTTCCCAGCCCCACAGAGGCACCAGGCCAACACGCTCCCCATGTCAGTATCAGGTAAGTCACACCCAGACCTGGCATGGATGTGAGCGAGCTTCCTGCCCTGGTGCAGAGACTGCCTTGCACCCCAGGGCCCCTCTGCTGCCAGCCGCATGCCATGCCCAAGTGGAACTTTTGGGTTGTCTCCAAGAGAGGATGCCTCTCCCATGAGGGGCCCAAGTCTGCAGACCACTGTGATGGTCCTCACTACCGTCCACCAAGGTCACCATGATGCTCCTCACTACCGTCCACCAAGGGTCACCGTGATGGTCCTCAC